ATGAACACAGGATGACTAGACCCTCAATGAACACAGGATGACTAGACTCTCAATGAACACAGAGGCCAGGGGCATCCTGATTCTTCTTCCTCAGCCTTTGCTTAGGTTAGGGTTGGAAATCTGGTATGATGGCAGGTGTCTCAGGGAATGAAACAAGAGGATGTACACAAAATGGGTGTCCTTACCACAGTGAAGGAGAACCAGCACCTGCCATTTAGATTGGCTAAAGTGGAAAGGCACACTGCATGCTAACACTGATGAGTGGGCGTGGGATGTGTAAGAGAAGTCTGGAAGACCAAACTTCAGGTAAAGAGGAAAGTTAGCCAAAGTCTCCAAGAAAACCTTGGTAGATGACCTCAATCTGAGAAAGTTGTACTCCAAACCCAGTGTTAGCTCAAAGGCTGCCATCCTGAGAGTCCACTCATAGCCTTTTACATGAATATAGCGTATAGAGCTAACAGAAAGTTGAAATATGGGGCGGATTACCTTCCAAAGCAGCCATTGCACTTTCCCTCTCTTTCGATGTAATTCCACAGGCCAATAGATTTGCCGTTCAAGAAGGCCTCTCCCATGCAGCCCTTAAAATGAGTAACCTTCACAGCCGGGGATTTCTGGTGCAAAGAGAAAAAAAAAACAAACAAATGCATAATGCACACCCAGAGGCATATGTTCTCTAAACTGCCCTGGCAGCTCAAACCCAGTGCTTCAGATTCCAAGAGAACATTCAGTGAAACACCAGTTTGCAACAACGACTTCCAAGCATGAACAGTTTACATTGTTTTCTGTTCCTTGAGAGTGGAGGGAGATTGAAAAAGAGGCTTGTTTATGTATGCAGCCCAAGTTGGCCTCATACTCTCAGTTCATTCGCTTAACCCTGGAGGATGCTGAGATTAAAGGTGTGTATGACCATACCCAGCTCTGGACAGTCTCCTAAGGATCTGCTCGGTTTCTGGGGAAAGTCTGCTGAGTAAGTCACCAGACCAGATAAGGAGTCAGTAGTCTAGAGGGACGCAGACTGTCCTTCTAACCCAGTCCAACTAGCTGACATCATCAAACAAATACTATGCACTCTTGCTAAACACTAATTAGCACAATTACCACTGGAATAAGAAGAGAGATAAAGGGACTTTACAGAAATTACTATAGATGTATTTAACTTCCTACTTTATCACTGGAAAAAAGAATGTCTAAAATGACAAACAGCACCATTGGTTTCTCTTGTCTTCATCTTCGTGATTAAAAATGATCCTTTACCCTTGCAAAACCAGCCTGGCTCTGCAGATGCAGAGCTGAAATGAAAACTAACAAAAGCAGAAATTTTTGGATTGTGCAGGATATATTAACACTGAGCCGGGGGCCCTGTTTAGATGCCCTTCAAGAATTTTACCTTGATTTGACCTCCAAGCCCTCCAACAAACATTAGTGTTGAGTTGTTTATGTCCAGAACATTCGCCGGTCCGGGAGATTTGGTTGTCCTGACTGGTGGGTTCTCGGCTGCGCTTGCTTCCTTTACACTCAGGGACCCCATGTTTCCAAACCTTGTGTCAGAAAGAATTGCAGGAGGAACTTCACATACATCACATCATGTATAAGCTTGCCTGTCACGCAGAGCCTCACCTGCCTCTCTAGGCTTGCCCCTGCAACTCCCACCTGCCTGCCTCGCTTACACGCTCGGCCATTCAACCTCTCCTTTATGCCCCCAAATCCTGTAAAGCAGCTCTTGGGAAACAGACAGTTAATCACTTCTCTCCCCCGTACTGAAAGTCATTACTGAGTCCAACCACATCTAAAGAAAAAACTACTCTTTTCTTTATAACATCATTTCTTTAATATAATACCAATATTTTCAACATCATCAACAAAACCCCATAATATTACAGAAAAGTAAAAGGAAAATTCTGCCTAAGACGTCTTAAATGAAGTTACTTCTAGGAAGGTGCTCTAATAGGAAAAGTTTGACTTAGAATTTGAAAATTTTTGAGACAAAATAGTTGAGGGATGGTTTTGTGAACTGTGTGGAAGTATCACCTGTTAATCAAAACCCTGTGGCCAATGAGCTGAGGTAGGACTAGGAGGCGGGACAGGGACCAGTCTGGCAGGGAGCAATGGGAACTCTGGGAGATAGAGGTGTGAGACTCATCCCAGACTCATGAAATAAAGGTGAGGTAGTAATTAGTCTTGTGGAAAACACAGAATAGCTTTAAATGGGTTTTGTAAGTTACAAACTAGTCAGGGAATAAGCTAAAGTTTATGGCCTTGACATTTATTCATAAATAAATATGCCTCCAAGTCTTTATTTGGAAATTGGGCCGTGGGTGGAAAAACTACACTCACATAATACATTTTCCATTTTCTTCCCTCTCTCCTCTCAGCTTCTGTTGCTTTTCAAAAAAATCCTCTCTTCCATGGAAGGAGCCATTTTACAAGGCTGGCCACCTGGACTTTCTAAAAACATTTTTGAAATAGTCTGGGGGCTTGGAGAGATGGCTCTGTGGTTAAGAGTACTATCTGTTTTTGCAGAGGACCTGGGTTCCATTCCTAGCACCCACATGGTGGCTCACAACCACCTGTAAGTACAGTTCCTGTGGGTACTATCTGTTCTTGCAGAGGTCCTGGGTTCCATTCCTAGCACTCACATGGTGGCTCACAACTGCCTGTAAGTACAGTTCCTGCACGTCTAATGCTCTCAGCTGGCTTTTGAAGGCACTGTGTACTCATGGTGCAAATATATATATTTGTAGACAAATACTTATACATAAAAAATGAAAATAAATATTAAAAGCAATCTAAACTATACAGTTTTTGATTCTTGATTCTGGCCACACACACACACAAAAACATTCATTCTATAATTTAAACGATTCATTCCTACTGTTAATATAAATCTAGTATTGTTTGTTTATAATCCAACTTTCCTAATGACTCAATGCCTGTCTATTAAATACATTATCGACATGTTACAAGGTTCAATTGAAAGAAGAGAGATATGAGGGACAGTCTCTGCTACCTGGTTATGTAGATGCTGTGCCATCTGTTGTTATTGATGGAGACATCTGGGAATTCCAACCTTGTGGACCCGGAGCCCAGATCCCAGAGAAAGGCTACTTTTCCCCGCCGCATCTCTACTGCGAGAAAATCACTCTGGGGGAAGGAGATGAAGGGAAGGAGTTACTTATTGCTATTTACACAGTCAGCACACTGATTCCATGTTCTTCTGTCTATGAGTAACCCACCCCTGGGGCTGGGGCATGGAGATCCTGTGGCAGAGGGCAGACTTGACAGAAGTGCTTTTGTAGGCTGATCATCCACTATGCCTCTTATGAAGTTCCCAAGAACACTCAAAGGGGTCACTGAGCCATGGGAAGGTCAGGCAAGATACTGGCTTGTTTCTGCCTCAGAAGGTATCAATGGGTGTGGAATGCATACTAAGAAGCCACAGAGTGAGCTTCACTCCTTGTCTCCTCAAAAGACATCTGTGGTAATAAATGTGTGTCTTAACATCTCCTCCATGACATTTCCAGGACTCTTATCCCTTCTGATACAGTCAAAGGAGCAGTAGTCTTGTCTAGGAAGCCCATTGTTTATAGACCATAGGCAGTGCATTGGCAGGAAGAACCTGGATGATGCCTGGCTATCTGAACATCACCGAGTCCACCAATGCATGATGCACCCATGGTATACCAATACGATGACAGATACAGGCACTGATCAGAGATGTCACTTTCCTTCTTGTACACTGTGTGTATGTTTCTATGTGTGTGTGAGCTCATGTGTATGCATGTTAGCATCACATGTTCACAAGGAGGCCAGAAGACAGTCCCAGGTATCCTAGGTGCTATCTACCTTTTGAAACAGGGTCTTTGACTGACCTGAACTCACCTAATTAGGGTAGGCTGGCCCCAGAGATTTGCTTACATCTACCTGTCTAGCTCAGGATACAGAAATGCAGGCAATGATGCCCAGGTTTTGTTTGTTTGTTTGTTTGTTTGTTTTTGTTTTTTAATGCGGTTCCTGTGAATTGAGCTCAGATTCTCAGACTTTCAGGCAAACTGCCCGAACTCCAGGCAGTAACTTTTGCATTTATTTGATATTCCACTCTTGAGGGTCAGTCTCTTGCTATCTATTAATGCTAAATGTGGGCCCCCAAGACCTGGTTGTCCCAGAGATGAGTCTGAATGTATACCATGGCCCCAACTTATTACTGATTGGTAAGTAAAGATGCCAACAGCCAATAGCTGGGCAGAAGAGACATAGGTGGGGTTTAGGTTTCATGGTCTTGGAGGTGGGAGGGGACCACAAAGAAGGAGTAGGTGCAGGAGAGGAGGAAAAAGAAGCAGTCATGGGTTAGGAGTCAAGATAAAGTGGCCCTGAGCATTGCCCAATCAGAGTTAAGAGCAGCCCAGATCAAACATAGTAAGTAAGTATGGATAGGAAATAGATTCTAACAGCATAGAAGGTAGTATCTGCCCAGCTCTTGTGTTGTGTAAGACTTATTGTAAATATAAAGGTTGTATGTGTCTTTCATCTGGGAACTTAAATAACCAACATGGGGTAGAAATCTCATTTATATATTTCTACAACATTTGATGTTACAACTGTAGCAAAGGTTTTCCCTAGTAGGAGAATTTAGTAAGGACGGTCATGTTTATGCTTTCATCAGCAGAGTGTCCACAGAGGAAACACCTGAATTCCCAAACACTCAGGGTTGCTCACTTACACTGCTGCTGCTGCCAAGGTAGAAGAGAAGGTTGTCGGGTTCCTGCGTCTTAACGTTCAGTATCAAGGTGTTGTAATTGGTAGAAGAAATCTGAGGCTGGTAGGCGCGGACGCAGTCTCTGTCTGCAGACACGGCAACTTTGATCTGACAGGGAGAAAACAGCATCCTGGAGCTTAGTAACATATGAGAACAGCTTATCAGGACATCAGAGACGCCAGTCCACTCACTCTGTGAAGAGTTTCCTCTGTGCAGAACTCTTAATGCTTTGGGCTTTACAGAGTGAGGCAGCAGAGCAGGATGGAAATTCTTTCATTTGGGGGAACCATTTAGATATTGGACAGTCCTTTTAATTAGGCTATGTCTTATTTGCTTATTTAGAGACAATGTAGACTATGCAGACCAGGCTGACCTTGAAACTCATGAACCTCTGTACCTCAGCCCACTGTTATAGCTGTGTATTACTATTAAAAATTTAGTTTTTCTTGGATTTTGTTTTGTTAAGATTTACTTCATTAAATTTTGGTTTTGTAATAGTGTGTGTGTGTGTGTAAGTGTGTGTAAGTATGAGTGTAGGAGTTCCCAGAGGCTATTAGAGGGCATCAGAGCACCAGGAGCTGGGTTACCGGCAGTTGCAACCAGCTCCTCACCTGGGTACTGGGTTCATTCAACTTCAGTCTTCCACAACAACAGCAAGAACATTTAACAGCTGAGCAATCTTTCCAGCCCTTTGTGGCTTTCCATGGGTTCTTTTATATAGGAAACTGTCTCACTCACATTAAGATTGGATACCTTGTTACTGTGGGCCCTTACCACCTGGCCCACAGAGACAGTTTAATGATCTCTGTTCAATAAAAATGCATTGAATATATATAGTAATATATTTAATATATCACTCAGGAAATAGCTATTGAGTGGTTATTTACTACATATTACTCTGCTCCATAATTATCTGTGTATAGATTTTCTATTAATTTCTCTTCTAAGTTTGTATAAGTCATGATATTTAGAACTACAACTTCAGCACACATTTCCTTGGCCTGTGTATGAAAGAGAGGGAAGCCAAAGCCCATGCTAGCTTGCATCCTCTTCTAGAAAGGAATACTCTTGGAGAGCCCAGAGTGCCTTTACCTTGCCTAGAAGGCTTCCGAAAGATCAAGCTGAGATCAGGGGTCACACTCTTTTTCTCTAGGGTCCCACACCATGGGCATTGTATACTCTCTTAGGCAAGTCTTACTATGGTTTGAAATGAGTGAATTGATCCATAGGTAGTTACAAAACGATTCCCCAACTTTGACCTCTCTGGTACCATATGTTTGTAGTGACATAGACTTGCACATCATCTGTATGGATAGAAATTGTTTTCTCAGAGTCCCAGAGGACAAGGCCAATCCTACCCATTCTGGATAGTATCTCCAGTATTAAAGGTAAATCAGTAAAATGAAGAAATGGCACCAGATGTTACCATTAGACTTTAATGTCTTCCTGACACAAAGGCTGAGTTGTAGAGTCAGACATTAACTATGAATCCTGCAAAGAAGAGTGCTTTCCTAAGAATCTTTGAAACACTCTAAAAGTGAGTGAGATTCCAAGAAAAGTGGTTTCAATATCCCGAGACAAGCTTAAGAGGACATGGGTTATTGGGATCTGGGTCTGTAGATGCTGCAGGGGACTTAGGGTGGCTGAACACCATGCCCAGGGGGAGTTGGGGTGGCTGAGCACCATGCCCATTGAGCTCTCCAGGACTAACGAGCAGGAGCCCAAGCTTCTGGATCTGTGGTATGAGGAGCTCCCAGCCCAACTCACCGAAGCTGCCTGTTTCCGGGCCCGGCTGATCAGCAACTTGATCTCTGACAGGTTTCTGCTCAGGTTTTCTTCCAGTGTTTTCAAAGGCTTCAATCGGTCGAATAAAAGGTTGGCTTGTGTTTCCATGTCTTTCATTTTTCTCCTAGCCAACAGAGCTAATGAAGACGAGGGGCAAGGGTTGGCAAGAGTTAGGCAGGAGGAAAAGAGTAAAAAGGAAGTGTGTCCGTTATTAAGACAGGGATAAGATAGAACAGAGTGGGCAAACCCTGAGATATACGAAGAAACCACGGACAGTTTGCATTCCCTGGGGACCCTCTCCTTCTCAGATGCCATTCTATAGGCTAGAACACTGCATCCTTGTGTACTCAGCTCTCTTTCAATCAGCAAGCCTCAGGCTTTCAAAACAGGGAGGAGGACCATGGACATACTAGTCATTGTGGAGTTACGCAGAAGGTCCTTTGTCTCCTGGACTGTGGCATTTACTCTGGACAGGTCCTCTGATGTGTTGAAGACCCTTAGGCTCAAACCCAGCACGTCCTCCAGTGTCTTCACCGCACTCTCATTGGCTGCTGCTGCCAGCTCTCTGGCTTTCCTGCCCTTCTCTCTCATATCTAAAATACAGGAATGGGCAAGCATGTGCCGGCTGAAACACATATGTTGAATACAAAACAAGGCTTCCTGCCTTTTTCATGTCAAAGAAGTTTGCATGTCACATGTTCTACCATCCCTTTAAAGAACCAATGAATATTTGGATACTTAATTCTACATGATTTCAGTTACACAGTGTGACTACAAAAGCCTTGGTTAGTGGCCACGTCCTTAGTATGTTCTTAGTATGTTGGTAAGCTGGAAGTACTTTTAAATTTTTATTTATTTAGTGTGTGCATGTGTATGCATGCTTGTTCATGTATGTTTGTATGGTACATGTAAGGAGGTCAGAGGACAAACTGTGGAAGGAGGTTTCCCCCTTCCTCTCTGTGGGTCCAGAGATGGAACTCACATCTCTAGGCTTAGCAATGGTACCCACTGAATCATCTCTCCAGCTCCAAACTTCTCTATTTAGCTTCTTTCTGTAGGCCACTCTCATCTTCTGGAAACCTATGCTCTTCCCATATCACTTAATGTCTGCATAAGAAGGTTCTGGAACTTAAACTTGCAATCAAGAGGAGAGTGGCCATGGATGGACAAAGTGGTATTTGGTCACAACATGGACTGGCTGCTACAAGGGACAAAAACTCAAAGAGGACATGGCCACAAGGGGAAAAAGACTTCTGCTATTTGAGAACACCTGGTTGAGGATGTGTACATGGTGCTGTTGAGACCTGAGAAAGTTTCAACACACACAGCAAAATGTTCATTCTTGAAAAAAGCCATATAAAAGTGTACAGCAATCAAGCCAGGCACAGTGATACATGCCTGCAATTCCAACCAGGAAGCAGGCACAACACTATCATGAGGTTGAGGCTAGCCTGGGCTATATGGTAAGACCCCAGGCAATAAAGGAGAAAATCTCCATACAGTCCCTTGCTCCTCTCTCAATGTTTCTGTAAGTTTGAATAAAGAATGTTTATGTGTTTTATTAAAATAGATGAAGGGTCCTTTTTCTGTGGGTGATCAGAAGGGGAAAAAGAAATTTCCAGATGAGAAGAGTAGCAGATGAGTCTTGGAAACGCAACACAGGATGTCTGGAGTCAGGCACATAGAGCTCAACAGCATGGTTCATTTGGGGTTGTGACTCAAGACTTATTTAAAGCCTTGGAGATTCCGTGTTTGCAAATCATCAATATTAGTGATCAACAGGCTGATTTTAGAGTGTTTGCTCATCTGAGAGAGGAAGAACATGCAATAAGAATTCTCTAATTCACTGTATTCACAGTGAGTCCAGTGTTCCCATGTTCACAGTGAGTGGATCCAGCTCTCCCTCCATGGCTGGGCACACGTATTCTCTTTTCTCTACACTTGGCCTCTTTAGAAGGCCTTTCTCCTTTGTGCTGGATCAAAGACATTTTGAAAGCCAGTAGTAATTAAAAGTGGTGGCCGAACATCACTAGTCTTTTGAGAGTGTAATCATAATACCTTTAAGAGTGTGATTTGATGTATTCATTGGTTTTTAAAAAGTTTCATGACCTTCACCTCTAAGTCATATCCCTTCCCAAGTTGAGGCTAAATCAACCTTGGTCTAGCTCTAGAGCCACAGTTCCCAATGAGCCATGAGGCAGGACTTCCTCAGGCTTGGGCAAGATGCTTTTCCAAGAAGGTATGCAAACCAGAAAACTCCATTCTGTTTACCTCCAGGGCTTTCTCTTAGTGTCATGAGGGAGTCGTTGGCCTGCTTTGTAATGTTATCCACATTTTCCTGAAATTGACTCATCAAACTTTTCAACTCATCCAGCTTCAGCTTAATGCCTATGTGAGGGAGAAAGGAAAGGTTCACGTCAGATTAGTCTGCTAGGACACCGCCTAGGCACAGCTTTGTCATACGTCAGCCATCAGCAGGACATACAGCTTCCTGCAGACACCTCAACACTGACAGTTTCCTAATGACTCTTAGTACAATTCATCATAGATATGGCAGGGGAGTTGGTTTTTTGATCATTTTGTCTATTTTGCTATTATCTTCATCACTACTACTTGTTCTCGAAGTTCGTGCCTAAATTTACAAAAGCACAAAGATGAAGAAATGTTTAAACTGTCTTCCTTCAGACTACAATTTTCAACCAATGTTGGAACTTGCCACCTCAAGGCTCTCAAATCCCAATGGCGGTCTGGCTCTTCATGACCCCTGATCTGTGACTCTGCCCAAACAGCCCTTCTCTATTCCCTCCCCCTGAATCTGGACTCATCCAGTTTCCTTTCATTTACACGGTTAGATCAAAGCTTTTACAGTTTCTGCTCATAGTACAAAACTACATTTAGCATTCTGAGCACGTGATCACGACATGGAACTTTAACTGCCAAGAAGTTCACAGTGTAATGACCTAGAAGGCCTTTACCTATGCAAACTCAAGCCAGTGGCTGTCAGCACTTGTGAGTTAGTGAGCAAGAATTGTGAAGATCTAATATTGAGAGGACAGGGGAGGTTCTAAACTGTCTCACTTACAGAGAAACAAACAAACAAAACAACTCCCTGGCCCAACCCTTGGTTCAGACAGCTGAAAGAAAGTCCAGTCCTTAATTCATGGAGCTATGAGAGGGTCCATTGCTATCCTTCAAACTGTCTGCATCAATGTGAGAAGCATATCATACATTATGAAAATTCAATGCCTGCACATTTTCTCTTACAGAACAGATTCTCGACATTTCATGTTATGCTTCTTGGATAGCTCTCACAGTCCCAGACAAGTGCTTGCTGAAACTCTTGAACTTCATAGGTGCTAATGGGAAAAGATTTACCATTTATGATTTAATCCAGTGACATTTCAATGAGAGCCTATCACAGTTCTAGCCAGGTGAAAAATGCAAAGACAGCATCAGATATAACTTACTTCAGCAAGAAATTGGGAAGTTAGAAAGAAAAAAAGAGGAGTCTCTGTCATCGGAGGTGACCCCAAGCACACCAGGAAGAATGACAGAAATGTCAATCCAAGTAGTCCCTGGAAGTCAGTCATAAGGAAGGGTTAACTACAGAGCAGGATGAACATTTGAGTAAGCAGTACCACCACAACAAGATTTGGAATCACACGACGCTCACTTGAGAGGCAGTGTTAAGGAGATAGACATGGGAAGCTTCAAATTGCTCTAAGAAAAGAGAGAGTTCTCCCAGAACACTGTCATTGTGTTCTCACTCAAACTGACCTTGCTGCTTCTTCCTGGTACTGACACTTTCTTTTAGAAACCTGGACGAGCGCTGAAGGACTGCTTTCCCCCGAGAAGCCAGGGATGCAGAGATCTGAAAAACAGAATGGTTCATACACAGGAACCTCCCAGAGAGAGCAGCCCCATCAGAAGAGCATCAACCAAGCTCCAAGTAAGAAAGCCGATCTCAGAGCTGGAGGAGAAGGTCACTGTCTGAGAGGAAGACCACAGAGACACTTTTAAATATAGGAAGAGGGGAATTGGCCGTTACACAGCTGTGAATAAAAGAAGTATTTATCAAGTATTTATCGGGACAGCATCAGCATCGTTATCCCAGGAAACTGAGATTTGCCCTTGTTTTTAATAGTAGTCATTGGTCTTCAGAAAGAAGCAAAAATGACCAAGACCATAGAATGGGGTGGTGCAATGCATTTCCAGCTACCCACAAGTCTGGGTCAGAGCTCACTTGAATTCAAATGAGGAATTAAAGGCCATACTGTACAGCATAGTGAGACCTGTACTGTCAAAATTATTTAAGAACTAAAGGGCATATGATATGTAGCACAAACAAACAAACAAACAAACAAAACCAACCAAGCAAGCAACCAAACAAATCACAAATGGATTTCACCAGAAAAGAACATGGGAAAATACATATTAGAGCCACTGAGTGTATGCTCAAAATCCTTCTAGAACAGTGACTCTCAACCTTCCTAATGCTGCCACCCTTTAATACAGTTCCTCATGTTCTGATGACCCCAACCATAAAGTTATTTCCATTGCTACTTCATAACTGTAATTTTTTCTACTGTTAATAAATGATAAATATTTGTCTTTTCTGATGGTCTTGGGTGACCCCTGTGGAAGTGTCATTTGAACCTTGAGGTTTGATCAAACAGGTTAAGAATTGTGTTCCAGAAGAACCTTCCATGGAGTTCAGAAAAAGGAAAATGCACAAGAAAGCCAGATATTTCTCACCAAGCTTGTCTTATTTGCTGTCTTGTGGGCATCCACAGCCAGCCTCTCTGCTTCCTCCGTCAGTGTCTGGATGTTGGTGTGGACATGTGCTGCGCTGGTGGCATTCAATGACACGTTTCTAACATTTTCAAGGTCTCTATGGAATCAACATTATTTCAAGATGTTATTTTAAAAAAATTGTTGACACACTCATGGGTAGAGTAGATTTCTACTAACCCTGAAAACTTTCTAGTTTCTTTCTTCTTAGAAAAGAAGCCAGGACTAGCAAACCATGGCTTCTCCTCTACACACAGAAGTTATGACTGGGAAGCTGTCTGTCATGACAACACTACTCAGAAAGGTTTTCAATTAACACTGAGATCCATGATGGCCATTTCCTATAGAGAGCCACACCACCAGTCTCCACTATCAGTCCTCTACTATCTCTGATCCATGCTTAAGTTCCCAGTTGGTGTTGGGTACCCTTCCTGTGTATACTGGTTATAATCTCTCTGGTAACCAACTTATTAATTTCCAAAAGGCTTTCTGACCACACGCAGGGGTGCTGGGGTGGCCTCTAAAGGCCATACCCCAATTTGATGAGATTCACCTGCAGGAGAAATAGAAAATATTTCAGTTGAGCTTCTTCATTCTAACTAGCAGGCACATAGTTTATGAGTTTGCCATCTGGCAAGGGTGAGATTTCACTAGCTCTATAAGGACGATGAAATGTGACCATTGACACATCTTTGCCTGCTGAGGGAATCACTTCATTTTCCCTCTGACTTTATTGAATTGGTCAATTCCTACGCCAGATACCAGCAATCATTGTCTGTCACTATTAGATGGGGAAACTCAATGATTTATCAATTAAATATCATGACACTATTTAATGTTGACTGTTGGGCTCAAATTGCTTTCACTACTCTTATACTAAACAATAAAGATTTTAGTCTAGCTGTGGGTGGAGCCCACATATCCTCTCTTTTAGGAAGGATAGAAGACGATACAGAGAAGCTGAGGCCCCACCTCCATTTTTTGCTACTGGTTGCCATGGTACTCACAGCCATTGATTTCAGTACCTACCTTCCTCGATAGACTACTGGATTATTTTTTATCCCTCTGATTATATAACTTAATCATTCATGACACTTTCTCAGTGAGGAGTAGTTTCCCATTTTCAAACATTCCTACCCTGCTTGTATTTTTGACATCCATCCTTTATAACAAAGTTTAAAGAAACAAATCCACCAGTTAATTAACACCCCAAGATGAGCTAGACCTGCTAAGCCTAGACTAGGAGGCTGAACAAGCAGGATCACGAATTCAGAACTAGCCTGGGCTACACAGTGTGTTCAAGGCCAGCCTAAGCAGTTTAGTGAACCCTTGCCTCAATATAAAAAGAAGGGGATTGTGGATATCACTCAATGCTAGAGTGACAGCCTGGTATGCATGTGGCTTTGATTGGTAACTATATTTCACACACATACACACACACAGGCACACACACATGTGCACACACACATACACATATGATCATATACACACACATACACATATACACAATCACATACACATTTACTCACATGCAGACACACATATACACACAAGCACACACACATGTGCACACACACATACACACATGGTCATATATACACACATATACACAATCACATACACATTTACTCACATGCACACACACATATACACACAAGCACATATACACATGTGAGTGTACACATACACACATACACACACCCACACCCACACACACACACACACCATAGGATCGTGAAACTCACCAGAAAGACATAAGGAAGACTTGTGTCCATATTTGCTTTACATAAAAAACAACCAAAGATGTTTAAAAGAAATTGGAAATTCTAAGCCACAATCCAGAGTGCTTAAGTCACCATCTTTGGGGGAGGAAGAAAAAGGTATGAGACACCAGTGTTTGATGAGTTGCCCTTAAAGTCCAGTGTACAAATAAGTCTGGGAAGCAGACTGGCCTAGAGTCATGCTTTATTTTTAAGAAGATGAAGACAGGTTTAACCAACAGCAGGAGCTATTAGTTAAAGTAACTTTGTGACAATGGCTGGTGGGGTGGCTTAACTAACCACTAAGAGACCAAGTTCATGTGCCAAGACTCATGTTGGGCAGCTCACACAGCCTGTAACATTTTAGCTTGTTGGGGTTTGATGCTCTCTTCTGGATTCTGTGGCCACTAGCACACATTGTGCCACACACAGCCTCACACACACATGCACACACTCACAAATGCATGTGTGCATGTGCATACACACACACACACACACACACCAGCAGGCACAGACAATGATTGGACATGATATATTTTAGCACTGGCAAAGAGACTTCTACAGGCAGAGTGTGGGCAGCCACATCCTCCATTTGAACCATGAACTCCAAGAACACAAGATCTATAGAGAACACAGCATCCTTGTACAACTCATGTACAGAGCACACTCGAGTACCAAAGGTGTGCACAAGCTTTGAAAGCCTGGTATGGTAGCATAGTATTCCGTTTGCATTTTCCCAATGCATGCATGTCTATGGTAAAGAAAGCAGGAAGACAGGGGAGGGAATCTGACTTGCCATGCAAGTAAAATAGGAGTCTCATTTTTACATGATAGAATAAGGGTACATGGGAGAGAAGGCTCAGTCAGCAAAAAGCACACTGAGTATCTTACTTCTATTCCTCAGATCCCATGTTGGTGAGTGGGGGAGGGGGGGAATCAAGCATGGTGGGTTCTCATCCCAGTGCTGGGGAGGCTGTGACAGACAGGGCTCAGTTGCCAGCTAACCTAACCTACATGGTGAATTCCTGGTCAGCAAGAGACAGTTTTAAAATATGTGCACCGCACCTGAGGAGCGCTATTAAAGGTTGTCCTATGGTTTTTAAATGCATATCCACTTAAGTACACACGCATCTGCACATATGTGTGCACTCGAGCATAGGCACACAGGAGTGTGCGTGCATGTGTGTGCATGCAAACCCAGCATAAAAGTGACTCAACGCTAACCTAAATGACCACCCTCACCCTTATCAAGGGTCAGCAAGCACTTGCTGGATTGTGACAACTGTGCAGCCTTACCTGTCCAAAGCTCCTGCCCTGCTCTGCAGCTCAGAGGCATGCTGCTCTGCTCTGTGGACAAGGTCACGGGCTCTTCGTTTGGACATCTGCATGACAAGGTCATCTACATGGCTCCTGAGTTTACTGGCCCACAAAAGGAGCTCGTCTCGGTGACGCTCCAGCCGCTGCATGGAGAAATGAAAATGGACACGTGTGCCTACTTAGCGACAAGTGTGCATGTACCCAATGACGAGGCGTGTGGCTGCTCTGGAAAAGGCAACGACTGTCCGAATTGTAACTTACCATTAGGGTGTCTTCTGCATCTGCTGCATGAGTCCTGGCAGCATCCACCCATTCTCTTCCTTTGGCAATGAGCGTTGAGGTCAGATTTTGTTCTCCTTGAACATGCAGCTTTTTCTCCTGCATCAAAAAATCACCAATTGAGGATATATCATGAAAGAAAGTCAGCACCCAATTTGGCACTGAGCGCCACCTGCTGAAGCCAGTAGCCAGTTCCACTCTGTCAAGAGCTAAAGTTGGTGCTATCTACAAGCAGGCCTGTGCATTTGCACTCCTAATTGAGAAGGAGACAATGAGACTCACCCTGAATTCTTTCAGGTCGGCCTTGACAAGGAGCAGCAGGAGGTTGCTTTCCTGGGTCTTGCTCCCAGCTTCCCTCAGGAGTTCCTCTGCAGCCTTCAGTTCCTCACTGTGGTTTGAGAGGAGTCTGCTGGCCTCCTTCAATGCCTTCAACTTTTCTTGAGGCTTCTGAAACTTTTTCTGAATCCGTGACAATAAGTCTTTGGCGGCCCTGAAGAATAGAGACGGTTCACTCAGAACATAAATAAAAACAAAGCTCGAGTCTTGAAATGCTGTTGAGGGATTTTTACACATTCACAGTTTCTTCTTGGAACATAAATGACGTATGGTGACTCACTTTTTATTTTTGAGACAGGTCTAGGCTATGCTGTTTAGGCTTGATATTGAACTCACAACAAATCCCCTGCCTCAGCATCCTTTGTTTAATCCTTGTCCTAGGATTATGAATGTGAATCACAATGTTTAGCATGGATCCTGACTGCTTGAGAGCAGAGGCAATTCTTCTGGTATGCATGTGTGCATGTGTGTGCCTGTGAGTATGTGTACCTGTGCATATGTGTGTGTGTGTGCATGTGTGCATGTGTGTGCATGTGAATATGTGTGCCTGTGCATATGTGTGCATGTGCATGTGTGTGTGCATGTGTATGCTCGTGAGTCTGTGTACCTGTGCATATGTGTGCCTGTGCATGTCTGTGTGTGTACATTTGTATGTGCATGTGTGTGTATATGTGCCTGCATGTGTGCCTGTGCACATGTGTGTCTATGTATGCATGTGTGTGTGTATGTGTGTGCAGTATGTGTGTGTGTGGGCATGTGTGTGCCTGTGAGTATGTGTGCTTGTGTATGTGTGTGTGCTTTGTGTGTGTGTGCACATGTGTGCCTGAGTATGTGTGCCTGTGCCTATGTCTGTCTGTGTGTGTTCATGTGTGGGCATTTGTGTGCCTGTGAGTATGTGTGCTTGTGTATGTGTGTGTATGCATGTGCGGGTGTGTGTAATGGGAGAAGGAATGCATGGATGTCATGTCAAACACGTGGAGTTGAGGATACCCTTAGGTGCTGGCCCTTACTTTGTACCTTGTTAGAGACTGGTTCTTTTTGTTGTTCACAAACCAGGCAAGCTGGCCTGCAAGCTTCCAAGAATTCTCCTGCCTCCACTTCCCATCTCACTCTAAGAGCCCTGAGACCACAGACCCATGCTAATGTGCCTGGCTTTATGTGGGTTCTCGGGAACTCAAACATAGGTCGTCAAGCTTGCACGCTGTGCTGGATAATTTTATGTCTTCATGACACAGACTAGAGTCATCTGAGAGGGCGGAGTCTCAGCTGAGAAAATATCTCCATAAGGTCTTGATGTAGGCAAGTCTGCGGGGCATTTTATTAATTAGTGATTAATAAGGGAGAGCTCATCCCATTGTAGGTGGTGACATCCCCAGGCTGGTAGTCCTGGGTTCTATAAGAAAGGTGACTATATGCTGTGTTAATGGTGGCAACTGCATCTGGGCAAGAAACTGAAAGAAGAGGGCAACTTATTTGTAAGGCAGAAAAAGCCTTTTGAGGCCAATTGTAAAACTTCAAAGTTCAAATTGCTTAAAAGATACAGTTCGTCCCATTAATAAACACAAGGTTTAGTAAATTGTAATTGTCTTTTATTGTTATTTATTCATTGCTCTTGAGATATGTTGAGATATGTTTTGAGATATATATCTTAATATGTTGTCCTGGCTGGCCTGGAACTCACTCTGTAGACCAGGCTAGCCTCAAACTCAGAGGGATCCATAGATTGCATTACTTTGCAATCCCATGAATCTTTGCAATCTCATGAATTATCAAGCAGATTCCACAAGAACAGCACTCTCAAGCCTACCCCTCAGCCCACCCACTCCCTGGGAACTCTCCATGCACATCAGTGTACTGAAACGGAGAGACTTGCAGTAAAGAGCTGGCCCCTTTGGTACACGCTGCCCCTCCTACACTCGTCTCAGAGTGTACTTCATTTCTGTATTGAAGTTATCTTTGAACATCCATGGGGAAGCCAGCAGGGAAAACAGTTCACTCAGCTGCCAGGGATCATCTGCAGTGTGTAGAGACAAGGTCATGTGGCAAGCTGCAATAAGCTGTCTTCAGAGAGGCCAGTGGGCAAGGTTGTAAGTATTGCCACACTTCTCCAGCTGATTAATAAGACAGTGGCTCCACTGTGCAAGCCAGGTGATTTAGGACAAGCACCTGTTTTCCTGCTGGGAGTCTGGGATTCAGATGAGTGCTATTGATGACCATGCGGATGCTGAATTTCTAGTGGCTTCTCCGGGCAGATATCTTACCCACACTGCATATTCCCTGCTGGGAAAACAGGTGCTAGGGAACCTCTCTGCATTCCTTCTCACACATCATTACAGACTCCTCTCATCTCTCTTTCATCTGGCTGCACATCCTTAAAGAACCCTGGCCATAAATTCAATTACACATCGAGGCCTGGGAGTTTCAGTGAGCCCCGAAGGTGATAGTCGTCTGACATAGCATGAAAATGACTGGTATCTGTGCCCAAACTGTTTACCCAGACTCAGGCATCAACCATGAATCTTATAATGATTATAATTGGTAATATGATGATAAATAATCCATGAAATTGGGAGAGGGAGTATCTATGGAAACTAGAAAGTAGTGGCTGGAGAATATACTTTGAACTCCCTCATTATTTAAAATAAAAGTCCCCTTCCTCATAGCTTCACTTACAGATAGGAGAAAGAAATATAGACTGTGACTTACAGCTTTATTCCAAATAGAAAGAGAGCTGCTTAACACAGCAATCTGTCCCAAAGCACCCAGCCAGTGGGGAGGTCAGGGGACAGGGTAGGCAGAGGGGGTGGCTCTACTTTCCGTGCCTTACATCAAATGTATGTTACATCGAAAATGAACTTTTCCTAAGAGGTCTAGAAGTTCTGGTGGGCACAAAGACTCTACTGTTTCTCTGCGTGTCACCAACTCCTGGTACCACGTTTGGGCTCAATCCTTTCTGTTCAGTGAACAAAGGAACTGGCCGTTGCAGGGAGCCATGAGAAAGGGAGGGATCCTGCAGGATGGCTGAATCTCCAGGACTGCCAGCCTGGGAACCTGCATCTTTAATAAGTTCTTTCATAGGCATGAATTCTGTCCTATGTGGGGAAGCAGCAGCAGCAAAGCCAGCATTCCCACTGCACAGATGGGCATTCTGTGTCCTTGTTACCTGCTCCAGCATCTTGCTACTTTATAACACCCAGTTCAGTTTTCCCAGGGCCTCCCCAGGCTCACTGAACCAAGTAACTAGACCATGAGACCTTGTTCCAGACCCTGTCTAACCATAAGCCTTTCCTTTTAAGTTCCAGTTACTCAAAGCCACGGGTCAAAAAAAAAAATGTCAAGGACAAATTGAGGAAAAAAGGAGCCGTGACTCTGATGTGCGTGCTCTGGGGAAAGCGCATGGTGCTTTACACTAACCTGCTTGTGGAACTGTTCTGAAAACAAGCGTTAGGCATCCTCAAAGTACAGATGATTTGACTAAATGATCTAGTTCCTACTGTCTACTCTGGTAAGATAATACCCCAAAACACAGAAAAGAGGGACATAATCTGCTTGTAGGAGCACAGACTGTGCTAGCAGTGATGTGTAGTGAGACCCTGTCTCAAAGGAGAAGAGAAAAAGAAGGAAGGATATAGAGAAGAAGGAGGGGGAGGAGAAGAAGGAGGAAAGGAGAGAGGGGGAAGGAAGGAGTGGTAGGAAAGGGAGGAGGGATAGGAGGAAGAGGAAGCGAACTGGCACTATAAATATTTAATACCAAAACGCATAGCAATATGGAAAAAATAAGAAAAACAGCTTGCCTGAGACGTCGATCACGTGATAGTTGACAGTAAAAATATTTACAAACACTTCCAATGTTACCAGGAAGAGCAAAGCTTTTGTGAGTCTTGGGTAAGTGATTAAAACAATCTAGAAACTGCCTGACAGAAAGACAATGTCAGCTAATAATTGTGTGAGAAAAAACTAAGAAAGGTTCAGGAAGGATGTCACAAGCTCCCCAAATCTGTGTGCAACCATTCTCTGGGGTCATGCATAGGGTTTCATGAGGCCTTATATGACCAAGTTCAATGACTCTGACAGTGTCCATCTGTCTCGGAACTTATGGACTGGTATGCTACAGTATTTTCTTCTTGACAGATTACCTTGTCCTTGATCTACAGTAACAGTTCACCAGGCTCTTTAGCGTTTAGTAGGTAAGATTAATCTAGCATCAATGGAATCATCAGCCATCCTGCAGGATCCCTCCCTTTCTCATGGCTCCCTGCAACGGCCAGTTCCTTTGTTCACTGAACAGAAAGGATTCAGCCCAAACATGGTACCAGGAGTTGGTGACACCAAAGAAATCAAGGGGCCCATTGCACAGGACCAGGGACGGATCGTACTGATTTCACTTACTTGGTTACTATATTTGGAGGGGCAGGTGCCTCTCTCCTCCTTTCCCGGGCTGCTGGCCTCCCTCCTCTCTGGCAATATTAATTCTCAGTCATAACTCTCTCCATCATTCCCCCTCCCCAGCATCCAGATGCCTGGTTCTTACTGATGGTATCTGAAGGGGCTTGGGACTTACTTGAGTTCAAGGGTGGCATTCTGCTGCATCTCTGTGAAATTTCTTTTCTTTATAAGTCCCAGCAGAGATGAAATGTTCTGGTGCATGCTCTGAAGAGCAGAAACAGGTGGCTGGAAATCTTCATGTGTGGTCTGATTCAATGTTGCCACCTTCTCTGTGATTTCTATGGAGAAGATTCGTCACTGAGTAAGTCTCTTCTGGGCAGACCGTAGTAAATGGAAGTGTGTAGAATGTTCTTTGGTGAGAACAGCTCTGAACATTTAGGCTGGGTTAGACCTCTAAGCACCCTGTGCACCCATGCGCTACCTGATATCACCTCCTCATCCACAAACCTATGAGGGTAGGCTCTGTGTTCCCTACCATGTTGCCCTGTGTCTGAGCAGACATAGACTATGCAGCAGTATCTCCTGTATAAAGCAGTATCTACCTGGCATCACTCTTTCATTGAGGAATTCTTATTCTGATCCTTCTCCTGCTCATTCTCCGTAAATCTCGTTAGCACTGCATTCTGTGCCTTATAAGCATAGTTCTGAATGAACACCATGGATATTTTCTAGTAGACGAGAAACCGACAACAGTGTACTAAACAGCAAAAAAGACCCAACTATGGAGTGGCAGAAGTATTCTGAAAGGTGGTTGGTGCCAAACAGGAGCCCCAGTCCTGTCAGCTTTCTTGTGGGTGAGTGGCATGGATATAGCATTTCAACTTTGGTGTAGCGGGGCTAGAGATGTGGATCCAGGTATGATACAGAATATAAAATGGGAAACAGTCTGTGAAAGTCTGTGACCTGGACATTTCCGGATGCCTGTGCTATGGGATGTTCCAGTCCCTTAGCCCTAGGAAGCTCGGTCCCACACTGTTCACACACATCACATGGTGACCACAACTCTTACTACCTACAAGCACAAGTCCCCAATGCAAGGTCTGCCCACACTACCTTGGATGTTTGCGTGCAGCTGCTCGATGAATGAGGCCAGGGCTTGACTCCTATTGGAAGTTCTTTCTATTGCTGCGTTCACCTGCTGATGGCCTCTTAACACTCTAGTGAGCTGAGCAGAGAGTAAGGACTCGGGTTAGTCAGCTGAGTATCACTCACATTTCCGAACTCTAGCCATTGCCTCTTTATAAGCAACAAAATGTACCCAGAACCAAAAATATATGTTACCGTGAACCAAAGCTAATATTTCTGAGTCCATATCTGACTAGGTGGGTATGGAAATCACTTAAGACACATTCACCATGGGAAAAGATGGTTTATTTTTGTAAACAGTCTAAATGACTGGCAGAGCAAGATGCTTCCTGTGTTTGCATTGCAGTGCTTCTCAACCTTCCTGATGCTGCAACCCTTTAACATGTATTTTCTCACTTTGGGGTGACCCCCAACCGTAAAGTTATTTTTGTTGCTACTTCGTAACTGTAATTTTGCTGCCGTTACAAACTTCCATGTAAATATCTGTGTCTTCTGATGGTCTTAGGTGACCCCTGTGAAAGGGTTGTTTGACCCCTAAAAGGGATCATAACCTACAGGTTGTAGATCCCTGTCATATCATGAAAGCCCTGTATTCACGTTAGCATCCAATTGTAGACAGTCACATGTCATTGAATGACAAGACAAATGACTCCTTAGTGTAGTCTACACTGCCTGTTTTGCCTGGGAAGCTGACTGAAGCAGACTGGTATTCAGCAAACGGCCTGGGCTCCTTACAAACTCCATCACAGACTCAATTTAGGAAAAGGAGGATAGCACAGTTATCTTATAGCCCCACTCAGGTTAAGAGAAGGCAAGCAGCTAAGTAGACCACCCTGTTCTTCCTCAGCACACATGGCAACAGTGACCAAGCCTTTCTCACCGCAGCAGGGAGCTCGTGGGGTTAGAACTGTCTGTTGATATGTATCTGGTGTACAGCTAACCAGAACCTCTAGAACCTGCCAGGTGGGACCCAACAGCTCCCAGGGGCTGTGCTGGCAGGCTGGTGGAAGCTGGATCTTTGTGTAGAGAACATACCTCCTTTTGCAGATTTTTCGTCTGTTCTGTGATACCTTCGAGCTGGATTTCTGCTTGAATCTTCTTGGCATTTTCCTTTAATAAATACCTCTAGGAAAAACAAAAGACGGACATTATATTGCTTAAAGTAATCATACTGCTTACTGTATCACATTTAAAGTGTTCTGTTCTCCAGAGAATCACGGGCTAATTCTTTTTGATACACAGAAAGACATCCTATTATTTTTTAACAATTACTTAAAAGAAAAGGGCTCATAATCAGTCACTATCCATCAACCTTCAATTACAGCAACGTCCCTCCACACTGCCACCTCCTGTGTGGCTCCCACACGGACATAAATTCAAGCTGTGGTCTCTTCAGCAGAATCTGAGACAGGTGGCATTTAGTAGATATACCAAGTACAGTTTTATTTGACTATCAAAGTTATAAAATATTAATGATAATCGTCAAAACATAAAGGAGTGCTTAGTAGGCTAAAATTAAAATGTATTCAATGAGAAGCCTCTACAATGGTTTGTAATTAAGGGTTTAATCCATTCTATTCCAACATTCTAACCTCGTTACGTGTCTGACTACTTAAACATCTCATCATGCTACAGTGTGGTCACATTGCTATTTAGGAAGGGTGTAGGTACATTGCCCAGTTTCACTCTGTTGGTAAAAATTAGAAACAATTCTATTCACATTCCTACCCTCCAGAGAGTGTTGGATACAAACACAGAGCATTGTTAAGGGGGTGAATGGGTAGATTACATCAGAGCAAACCATTCAAGCTTAGTTAAAATCTGAACCAACTATTTAGTCACTTGATAAATTCAAAACACAGTGACCCGTCTGGCAAAGCACATCATTTATTGATTGTATGTATGATGGATGGACTAGGAATTGAAATGTCTCCTCCTTCCTGCCCTTTGTAGAATTTTCTAAATGAATGTAGAATTCTCATCTTTCAAAAGCACATATTGCTACATTAAAAAAAAGTAATATAAAAATATCTCCTAGAGCTTATCAGCTCCTCCCCAATATCAATGTGTGAGTGTGAGTTTAGAGTGTGAGTGTAAGTGTTGTGTGTGCATATATGTGAATGTGTGCATGTGTGAGCACATATAAGTATTTGTGAGTATGTGATTATGTGTGTGTACATGTGTGCACATGTGAGTGTGTGAGTGTGTAAGTTCATGTATGAGTGTGTATGTGTGAGTGTGTGAGTGTATGTGAGTGTGAGTGGGTGTGAGTGGGTG